AGTTTCTATTTTATATAGTTTTTGGTTAATTATATCTTGAAATTCACTTTCTACTCTTTTTGTTTTGATTCAGACAATTTTGGGGAATTGTGAATAAATTTTCAACCAAAGCATTAACTTCAACTCATAGATGGGCAATATTTATAAAATTGGGCTAATACCACTACAACACGCGAACTATTCGAAAAAAGTCACTTGTGTCCTATTCTTTCCAATATTCCATTTCTGTCCTGAACTATTTTTCTGTTAGTGTTGACTAACGTTGACCGTTAATATTTAACAGAAAATCCAGTAAGCGTTGACGTGGCATCTGACGTGGAATTTTAAATTTAATTTTTATTTATTAAAAAAATAACAAAAAGGAAAACCACTCAGCCTTCTTTCCCCTTCCCTCTCCCATCTCACAATCGACAGATTCAATCCCTCGATTCGACGGGAAAAGCTCAGGATTGTTGAGCCAAAATCATCAACAAACGTCCACCATTTTTAGTTTTAACAACATCACAAATACATACGACGGAAGTGGTTCGTTTCAGATTCGAGAGACTGGAGGCAGTTCATCGATCATCTCTCTCCTCTCCGCTCTGGTGTCTTTCCCCTCGATTCTTGCAGCCCTTCGCCGCTGCTCTTTCCATCTCCTCTGCTTCTACCAAAATCCCAAGATCTGGTGTCTCGAACTCAACCTACCGGCGCCAATAACCACCTCTTCCTAGATCCATCTCTAATATGTACTCCTTGCGCAACCGTGATGGCGAGACCATGACAAGTCGAAGGGATGCTGTTGAATCTAGGATCTTGGCACGGTGAAGAAGCACAACAGAATCAGCTGCTGCTCGAGGCGCAATTCTGGGTTTTTCGAGGTCACGTAGCAAAACAAAGGAATTGATGGACACCGATTTCGTCGAGGTGGGGGGAGATTGGAAAGTTTGGGGGGCTTGGCTATGTTCTTTTCTATGGGATGAGAAGTGGTGGAAGATGAAGAGGGCTTTTAGTGGAGAGGAAGAAGAGATTCTGTAGGGGAATTTTGGGTTGGGACTTTGCGCCAATGGAGAAGGAGAATCGGACTGGCCGACACCGGAAGAAGAATCCGGAATTTTTGGGTTGAATTTAAAAGTTATTAGTTTTTTATTTTCATAATTTAATTGTATTATAATTTTCAGTAAAAATGATGTGGCAATAACATGGCGCCTATGTGGATGTCACATGCTTTGCCACGTCAGCAGAAGTCAACAACAGTTTGACCTCCATTTGGTCAACCGTTATCTTTAACGTCAACGAAATTGGGAGTACACAAATGACAAAAAAGAACATACGAAAGGACATAAATGGAATATTGAAAAGAATAGGACATAAGTGACATTATGGTCATAGTTCGAGTGTTGTAGTGGCATTAGCCCTATAAAATTTGAGTTTAAATTGGAATTACAAGACTCTTTTTGGTTTCTCATGGTTACTAATGAAGCAAATGACTTTGAAAAAGTTATGAAAACCAAATGTAATTAAAATTAAGAAAAAAATTGATCCGACGGAAAATGAGACGGATGCACTTTATGTGAGTTCGATGGTTGCGATCTCTTAATCTAATTGAAATAGTATGACTACTTGAATTTCCGAACTTAAGTGATACACAAAGTATTTTCCAAACTGAAATGATACTGTAGAGATACCAAAGTATTAACCCCTAAATGACTACGACAAGGAGATCCCCTGTCCCCTTATCTGTTCCTTTTGGTGTCAGAGGGACTATCAAGCTATATGACCCTTGTTGTAAACCAAAGGAAAATACATGGGCTGTCAGTAGCAAGGGGTGCTCCGGTGATATCACACATTTTCTTTGTTGACGATTCTATATTTTTTGCTAGAGCAACAGAGAAGGAGAGTCGAGAGTTGAGAAGGGCACTTGAGGATTATCATACGCAAAGCAGTAAAAATTCGGATTTTACCTAAAATCGAAAACTGGGGTAAAATCGGAATCGTAAAATCAAATCGTAGAATCGTAGGATTTTAAGTACCATATATAAATAAACATATAATAATATTTATAAGGTAAATAATTAATAACACAAAGCCTTATAACATTTAAAGTGATAATTTTCAAGATCAATGTTCCAAAATCATCATTTTAATTGTTATTTAATGCGTAACTCAAAATAATTTATGAGGAAGGGATATAGCTCATGGGGTTTGGCTCTTGTTTTTCATGTTGTGTCTAGGTAGTTTAACTCAAATTAGTATTCCGACATCGTCTATTAAGCATGATTTAAAACTAAGAATAACTAAAACAATAAAATAATTAATGCCATTGGTTTGGTACAAATATATTCATTAATCAAATAATTTGTTAATAATGATGTTAATTCTTATGCGCTTACAATATTCCGACAATTGTTTACCGATGAGTTAAACAAGGAGAAGGGAAAGGGGTTGACCGAACCCTAATTAGTTTTTTTTCTTCTTTTCAAATGTTATTTTAATAGGAAAAATATATGAGAAGATCCTCGTCATTGCCCTTTCCAACGAAACAGTTCTACTTCTTTTGAATTGGCTCAAGCTCTCTATTTTGTTCACATATGATCAAAATCTCGATTTTTGTATGATTTTACGATTTTAACGATTTAATCCCGATTTTGAACGATTTTAAGGTATACCGATTTTATAGTAAAATCAGGATCGGAATCCCTAAGTAAAATCCTAAAATCCTACAATTTTACGATCAAAATCCCGATTTTGACTGCATTGATCATACGGAGTCCGACCAGCTGGTTAGTTTGGAGAAATCCGAGGTGGCTTTTGGATCTAATGTAAAGTCGCACCAAAGATTAATAGTGAGCTCAAATATTGGGATGAAGGTAGTAGAGAAACATGATAAATATTTGGGTCTTATGACAGAGGTAGGGAGGTCTAAGAAAGAGTTCTTCATTTATCTCAAAGATCGAGTTCGGAAAAAGTTGGCGGGCTGGAAAGAGAAGTCGATGTCAACTGCTGCGCGCGAGGTTTTGATTAAGTCGGTGGCACAAGCACAGCTGACCTACACCATGTCGGTATTCAAGGTTCCTGAAGGAATACCAGAGGAGATACATGGTTTGATTACCCGCTTTTGGTGGGGGCAAAAGGGTGAAGAGCACAGAACTCCATGGTTAGCACGAGAGGCACTGATATGTACCAAGGAGCAAGGGGGTATTGGTTTCTGGGATCTGCGGGTTTCAATCAAGCGCTACTCGCGCGACAACTGTGGCATTTGCATCAGAAACCGAGGTCTCTAGTAGCTCAGATCATGAAGGCGAAGTATCATAAAAACGACACTATCCTAGAGGCCCGTGTTGGATACCGACCAAGATATGTGTGGCGTAGCCTTATGCGCGCCCAGGAGTTCCTGGTTGAAGGCTTCAGATGGTGAATCGGTAATGGGGTGTCTGTTCGTATCTGGGGTGATTGATGGTTGCCGTCAACACCTCATAATATTGTTCAATCGCCACCAATGGGTATCCCGGTTGATTCAATGGTGCGGGACCTGATTGACGAAGAGGAAGAAAAATGGGATAAGACGTTCTTGGAAAGTTGTTTCCCATCTGATATGGTACATGCTATTAAACAAGTCCCGTTAAGTCACCCGGGAGAACAAGACTGACTAATCTGGGCAGATAGCATTGATGGCCAATACACGGCAAGGGAGGGTTACAGGACGTGGTGTCGGAATTTTCAGGGCTAGCATGCTAATTGGAGTGTAGGGGATCCAACTCTATGGAAAAAACTGTGGTCGCTTAAGCTACCGCCAAAAGTGAAGGTGTTCGTGTGGAAATTTACACGCGAAGCGTTGGCAACGGGGGAGAAGGTGCATAGCCGAAACCCAAGGCTGAGTGACGTGTGCCCGTATTGTGACCAGCTAGATACACAACATCATGCTTTCTACGATTGCCAATGGGTGAGTAGGTTGTGGCAGAAGTCGGATGTAGCTCGCTGTTTTGAGTTAAAAGTTGGGGCAGGTTGTATGGACTGGGTTCGGTAGGTAATTGCTTCGGTGCAGGAAATTGAGCTTGTGGGTGGTATTGTTGTGGTCTTTATGGAGAGAACGGAACGCTCACTAGTTTAACGGGAAGAAGATGGATGAAGCGGACATAGTGCCAAAAGCACAATCCTATCTTGAGGAGTATCGACACCACCACTAACTCCCGGATGCCCCACCAATTTCGTCGGTAAGCCATGTCTGGTCGAGACCTCCACTTGGGAGGGTGAAGTTGAACACGAATGCGGGGATAGAAGATGAAGGTGTTGGACTGCGGGTGGTAGCTCGGAATGATGATGGAAATTTTCTATTGGCTACGAAGAAGCGAGGCTTTGGCGATAGAGTTTGGATTTCAACTGGCTCGACATCACCATTTAACGATGTCTGTTGTGGAAACAGATTGCCTAGTAGTGGTGAACAAATTGGAGGTGGCAGACGAAATCCAACAGAGATTGGGTTTGTGCTCAGGAACATACACAGGTTGACGGCAATGACTGGTGGAAGTGTTCAATTTGCGAGCAGAATTGCAAATGAGGCTGCATACATAATGGCTCATACGAAGGCGAGATGGGATATAGCGGGTGTCTGATTTGATAGGCCATCGCTGAATCTGTTAGATCAGCTTCTTAAGGACAATGTAACATCCTTTTCTACTCAATGAAGCAAAATAGCTGGTTCTGATAAAAAAAAAGTATTAACCCCTATAAAAAATTCATTAAAAGAAAAGAAAACATAAATACGAAATATGGCAATATGCACAGAGTCCTCGCATTTTTGTTTCGGGCGGGCTGAAGGGCGGGAAAAGAGGAAAAACCCTTCGGTTCCAGACTTCCTCTGTCATTTCAATCATTTGGTGTAGAAACCCTCCGACGCTCCAACTAAGGTGTAATGGATGCGCGAGCAAAATAGCCCAGCGATCAATCGGCACTCTGACTTCGCATTCCGAGGAAATCCGCATCTGTAATTTTCCGGCGAAGAGCGGCCGCACCGGAGCAGGATGTCTATCCAAAACCCTAACAAGAAGATTCGCATTGAAGGAGAAGCGGAAGAACCACAAATCGACCGATTGAGCAGTCTTCCGGACCACGTCCTTCACCACGTTCTCTCCTTCTTCAACGACACCCAATTCTCCGTCCGAACCTGTGTCCTCTCCAGCAGGTGGAGATCCCTGTGGAAGCACGTTCCCCGACTCACTCTCGACACGGATTTCTTCAACAGCGCTTCAAGTTTCGCCAGGTACGTCGACGGAGTCTTGTCCTCGCGTCCCGACGGCAGTAACGTCGATGAGATACATTTCTTTCACTTGGGATTTTCCCTGGACAAAGAGCTGTTCCACAGGGTTGTGAAATTTGCTGCGTCTAGCAATTGTCAAGAGTTGATAGTTTGTGTGGGCTATGATGAAATTCTTGAGCCACATTTGTTAGCTGATAGCAATCTCGGAACACTACGGTTCAGATGCACAACTTTGGGAACGGGATTCGGGTCTTGTGCTTTGAGCTCGCTGAGGGTTTTGGATTTGGATGATTGCTGCCTGCCTTGTGGCAGCGCGGCTGACCTTGATCCTTTTGCTAACTTTCCCTGCTTGGAGAATTTGACATTGTGTAGGTGTGCAATGGAAGATCGTCAATGTTGCTTCAAGATCTCCGGACCCCGACTTGTTAAACTCGAGATATCTGCGCTTTGTTGTTCTAAGTTGGAAATATTTGCGCCAGAGCTTAAGTTCTTCGATATCACGGATATGGCGAAATCCCCAATATTGTACCAGTTAGCCCTTCCTTCCCTTGATCACGGTATAATTTCAGTGCATGATAACGGCCGTGTTGAAAAGAACAAGGAAGAAATGAAGGCTAGTTGCATCAGCTTGTTACAGGGTCTGCACAATGCGAGTTCTTTGAATGTGCGTTCTCATTTTCTAGAGGTATATTCTTAAAGTATGAGATTGATGCTATTGAACCTGTCACTTTACTGGATTAATTTTTTTCTTTTGGTATACTTTGTGTAGCTATTGAGCAGCAATTACGACTTTTTGGAGGATCAATCTTCTCCCTTTACCAGATTGAAATCTTTGAAAGTGTCGCCATATTTTCCTGAGTTCCACTATATGTTATTATCTTACCATGTGATCAAGTACTTCATGAAAGGTTCTTCCCGTCATGGACCAGAAACTATTGAATTTGTCTAGGTAATTCACAAAACCTGCTTCCTTACTCATAATTGTATCAGTTTCCTAGATACCATTCTCTTCCTTCTCACTTGACAACATCCATAGATATCAATTATCTTGTTTTCATTCATGTTTAGCTTACGTGGGAGCCTTTCTTATGTTTTTACTTGGGACTTGAGATTGCAGTAATTGAACTTAGGTTGTTCTTTAATTTTGGGCATGAGCTCTGAACGTAAAGACCGTACTGAAAGCATAAGTCTCGCCCGAATTATGATGCTGCTCAAATGTATAATCTTCCCACCTTTTGCTTGTAGAATGAGTTGAAATTTTGGCTCCATTTTTTGCCGCATGATATATTAGACAGTAGAAAGTTTTTTTATGCAGGTTTGCTGCTGAATGTGGAACTAGATTATGTTATGTTTAGTATATATAGCAGTGGCAGATTGAATGTAGGAAACATGGGTATAAGATGTTTAATATAGCCTAGATTGGACATTGCAACGGTGTGGTGGGTCTATCTCTCTCTCTCTCTCTCTCTCATAACCATTGTTAGATAAGAGATCCAGACTCCTATGTGAAAGGTTTTATCCTATGAGATATGAATATATATTAGCATATGAGATTATTAAAGTATCCAAGGAGGGATTGGAACTAAGGATGGACTTACTAACAATGAGGAGGTGAGGATCCTGATAATGCTTAGCCTAAATATTATTGGTGTAGTTACACTTCCACGTGATGCTTAGCATTCAAATCTTATTAAGACGTTGGCAAGCTTTCACCCGAACTCACAAGAAGAGATGGAGGATGAGCATTATCCTAAGCAGCAAGCTTTCCCCATGGCGAGGAGCCTACTTCTCTGTTGGTCCCTTTTGCCCTTCATTAGGCTGGAAAGACTCCAGCCAAGAGTCGCGTGTTGTTTCTGTATCACCATGCTATTTATTTCCTTTCTACCTGAACCTTTCTGCAATGTGCGTTCCCAAATCGTTTTAGCCACGTTGCTACAATGCAGTTAGGCATTGCGGATGCTTTGCAATGTGCATGAGTGTTTATTCTTGTACCTCATTAGTGTACAGGTGGCAGTCATTTCTTACATCTACGATCCAGTCCACAGCACTGATAACCTGTTTGTGTTCTGCAGGAAGTCTTGGGTGTGCAATATGCAAGTTGAACTCCGGAGAACTGAGCTAACTGGGATCTGAAGGATTGTACTGCCCTTGTTGTTACACAAGTCGCCTAGGTGAAGATCCTTTTTGAACTCGAGTAGTCCCAGGTCTAGCTTTTTTCGGATATCTTTCGTGAAGGTAGTCAAAGTACACAACAGTACTCGTCAACAGTCACCCAATTAGGACGTACTATCGTGCATCTGATCTAATGAACCAGTAGTAACCTAATTTTCGTATATCAGTCGGCAGTTCTCACCTTTGAAAAATATCACAGTTCTGTGTGCATGTGTAATGATTATGGCTGTTGCAGCTGATTCGAGTGGGTTGCTAGTCATGACCGCCTTGCTCCGCATCGTTGATGCTGGCTGTGATTGAATCAATGTTGGAGATCTTATGCTCTTGTAATAAGGTTACGTTTCATTTCTTCTTGATCCGATGCTAGTGCGGATTGAGCTGTGTGGAGTTTTCACAGAGCGGACACTGTGAACTCGAACAGCTCAGAATTTACCATTATTGGTTGGACTTAGAGTCTTGGACCCATGGGCCTTGGCCCGGAGACGAATAAAAAAAATCTAGTTGGAAATCGGCACCTTATCAGACGCAAATTCGGAGTGGCCGGAGAGAACTCTGCTTCTCCTTTTCCGACCAGGAATCGGCAATGCAATTAGTGGCTATAAAAAAAAAAGCCAACCCCGACTAAAGCACAACACAATTGCAAACCGGCACACTCCAATCAACGAAAGAGAAGGGCAAGAAGATATACAGAAATCAACATTCCCTAAATCAGGTTCGATCGGCAACTGCAAAAGATGCAGATCTTCGTTAAAACGCTCACCGGGAAGACGATTACTCTGGAGGTGGATAGCAGCGACACCGTGGACAACGTCAAGTCCAAGATTCAGGACAAGGAGGGGATTCCGCCCGACCAGCAACGCCTGATTTTCGCCGGGAAGCAGCTGGAAGACGGCAGAGCGCTCGCCGATTACAACATTCAGAAGGAATCGACGCTCCACTTGGTTCTGAGGCTCAGGGGCGGGACGATGATCAAAGTGAAGACGCTGACGGGGAAGGAGATTGGTGTCGACGTGGACTTGGAGGATACGGTTGCGGGGATAAAGGTGAAAGTGGAGGAGGTGGAAGGAATCCCGCCGAACCAGCAGCGACTGATCTTCAAAGGGAAGCAGATGGCCGACGACAAGACGGGGAAGGACTACAGTATTGAAGCCGGCGACGTTCTTCATCTCGTGCTTGCACTCAGGGGCGGCGCTGCCGACGGCGGAAGTACGGCTGGGTTGTATTAGTTGGGCTTGTGCCAAGGTGTCGGATCAGGCTTTTAATTACTTTTTCTTATTTGCATGGATTTTTTTGTATTAGATCATGTATGCATTGATACCGGTTGTGATGCATTTATGTTTATTAATTATTCATATTTTTAATTAGATTGAGTGGATTCGAGCTATGACGATTCAATTTGATGTGTTTTCGATTTCAATTGAATCATCTCGTAAATAGACGGATATATTTGAATTTATTTAAAACTTTGCACTTTGGGATAATAATAATAATAATAATAATAATAATAATAATAATAATCTTTTGAAAATACACAACAAGTTATTTCATCTATAACTTTAACAACACCATAATAGATAGATGCGGTCTAGACTAACATTTTTTTATAGTAAAGTAGCGACTTTCCAATAATTAGAGATGAATAAATTATTCTGAATATAGAGATGTGATCTAGTTGAAACTGTGAGCTGCGAACAGTTGCTTAGCGTCGGAGGTATTGTGCGAGTGAATTGGTGATTCTGAATAGTGAATATAGCTACTTCAATTGCAAACATCATTACCTAACGGAGGACGGTGACTCAAAAGCTGGGGCAGAGCTTCTGGAAATAATTCTCGACAAGGTCCCTCTCTCTCTTATAATTGGAATTCAATTATCAATTCCTTTGGTTAAGTTGGATACCACTAGTTAGTAGTTACCACCTTTCAATTGCTGTTTTCCGGCGAGAAAACTTGCGTTGAAATAAATTGATTGCATCTTTGACTTCTTTGGACAACGATCACTAAACACGATTCACACCTCTTCAAACACAGTTCGAACGAGGGTGTTTGATGTTTACACGTCTCTCGAGACATATCTACATTAAGTTACTCCTACTCCTATGGAGGTTCTGAGAGAGCTCCAGATCTACGACTACTAATAAAAATTGCAGAGGAAAGATAAGATTGATAAAACTTGACAAGTGGTGTCGAGTGGTCTTTTTTGCCGGCCTTTCTCTGTCACTCTATCGTCCTATTTATAGCCTTGAGTGGGTAACTGTCGTAGAAAAACTGCCTCGGATAACTCCCAAAAAGAACTGCTCCCTGCTTCTTCGGAACGTGGTTGATGTGTCCTTTGAACGTGGGATGAGTAGCAGTTATCTTATCTCTCAACTGCGTATGTGCCTCTCTTGAAACCGTCGCGAGACTTGGCGTGCGGCACGCCTCATAGCTCACGGTTATGGACTTCTTTACTCATGTCCATGGCCCTCTTGGACTTAGTCACTAGTGATATAATACTCCACCACCATGTCATTCTCCTTCGTGTCCATGGCCTCTCTCGTGAGGCGGCATGGCCTTCTCATGATTATAATATGGCATGACCTCTTCGTTCGCGCCCATGGACCTCTCAGTCATGGACATGACCTCCCTCGTGAAGCCACGAGTCCTTCCCATACTTACAATATTCGAACTTGGTCATGAGGCATCATGGCCTCTTCCTTCGCGACCATGGACTTCTAAATCATGTTCGTGGTCCTTCCTGTGACGCGGCATGACTCTCTCGATCTCTAGAGGGACATGGCCCTGGCACATCCTTCTCCATACTTAGAATATTTTTCGGTTATTTGGTTTAGATCATGAGGCGGCATGGCCTCCTTATTCACGGCCATGGACTTCTCATTCATGTATGTGGCCCTTTCCGTTAGACGGCATGGCCTCCTCATACTTAGTATTTTTCAATCGTGTCCATGTCCTCTTGTCTCCTATCCATGGTCGTCACATATGGCACGATCATGAACCTCTTAATCATCCACATCGCCCTTCTCGTGAGGCGGCATGGTCTTCTCAGCCTTAGAATATTTTTTCAGTCATTCGGCATTGGGCGTGAGGCTGCATGTCCTCTTTGTGAAGTGGCACGTCCTTTTCCTTGAAGCGGCATGTACCTCTTCCAGACTTAGTGGCTCTTAGGCTTAAAATCAATATCCATAAGGCCCAACATAAACAACATTAATTATTATAATGGGTGTGGCCTTATAAACTCATTAATTATCTTGTAACTCACCAATGTGGTACAAAACAAATTTATAGTGTAAACAAATGCCCCCAACTACTTAGTGCATAAGGATTATGGACTAAGTAGTTGAAACCAACTAATTCTCTTTATGCATATCAACAACAACTCACTGCCCCTTTACTTAGCCAAATTAAATTGGCTTTCATGGGATAACTTTCTCAATTTGGCATTCTCACGTAATGCTCACAAGTTGGCCTAAGTGCATGGCCATGTAAATGAGAAGTCATTGACCTTTTAAATCTCATCCATTCCATGTG